TTTTTTTGCTGGTTGTGGGGCCTGAACTCTGGGCCTGGGTGCTGTCCCTGAGCTCTTCAGCTCAGGCTAGCGCTCTACCACTAGAGCCACAGCGCCACTTCTGTTTTTTTTTTTCTGCTTATGTGGTGCTGAGGAATCGAACCCAAGGCCTCATGGGTGCAAGGCAAGCACTCTACCATTGAGTCACCTTTCCAGCCCCCCTGAGCTTTTTTTGCTCAAGGCCAGTGCTCTACTATTTGAGCCACACTTCACTTCTGGTTTTCAGGTGGTTAATTGGAGACAAGAGCCACTGACTTTCCTGTCAGGGCTGGTTTCCTTGTATCTCAGCCTTCTGAGTAGCTAGGGTTACAGGCATGAGGCACTATCACCTGCCTTACAGAAAGACTTTCAAGACATAACGATAGGATGTGAGGGTGACCTGGCTGTGACATGCCATCGTCATTGATTGCCAGGGTTGATTTGGCTGATCTGGCTGGTTAGGGACGTGTCCCTTCCTCCCTCATGGCTCCATGTACATCCCTCCCAAATCTGTGTGCTTGGGGAAAGAGGATGACCATTCTTGAAAGAGAAGGACTGGTCTTATATACAAGTGAGGCTGGGAAGGTGGCTCGGTGGTAGAGCGCTTGCCTTGTATGCCTGAGGCCCTGGATTCTATTTCTCAGCACCACATAAGCAAAAAGAAAAAAGCCGGAAGTGGCGCTGTGGCTCAAGTGGTAGAGTGCTAGCCTTGAGCTGAAGAGCTGAAGGACAGCACCCAGGCCCAGAGTTCAGGCCCCATGACCGGATCTCCCCCCCCCAAAAAAAAACCCAAAACAAAGAATATACAAATAGCTGTGCTCCCTGGCTTAGAGCCTCCAAGTAAACTCTCTAAAAACTTCTTCATGTAGGAATGGACAAGAATAAAATTAACTGGATTTTTTAATGTAAAGGAACAAATTTTATAAGACTGTACAAAATGGTAGGGTTACCCAATGGAAAACAATGACAGAAACATCCCGGTATCATCTAGGCATTATATAGAGCTTATCTCAAATTCCTGTGCTCTGGAGACCAGTCACTGGATTAGATACATGATTATTAATGTGAAGTATTCAATCAATGCCTCACAACCAGCCAAGCAACTTTCCAACTAGAAAATATTATAACATGTCCTTCTCCTATCCCAGCAGAAATATACGGGGAAAATTAAGCCTGAAAAATGGCTTCCAAGAGTCTTGCCTTTAATATAAATCCGCAATACCAGCTTTTTGCCTTGTAGCTGATGTAATGAATGAGAGGTGCTGGCTAGCAACTGGTGGTCCCCACGTGGCACTCATGAAGATACAAAGACACATGTGTTTGGAACTATGTCTCTTTTTATTCCTCTTCATGCTAAGGAATTATATTCTGCTTACCTCACAAATTCATGAAATGGATGGATCAAAGCTCTGCATAAGGGAAGACAACATTCAGGACAGAAATTAGCTACTTAATTACAGAAGTGGAAAGCTGGCCATATGAAAAAGGTTCAGAAGAAATACCCTGAAAGCTCAAAAGTAAGCAATGCTGACGAAGAGGACAGGATGGCACTAATCAAATGCTCTTAAGATGTTGTCTCCTTGAACATAGGCCTTTGTATCTACCACAGAATCAAAACTGAAATAACTACACTTAAGGAAAGTACTATTTCTAAAGAATAGCATGATTTGAAGTTACTTATCAACACGGGGAATAAAACCTTTATGTTGCTGTAGTAGATGTTTCCTTTGAGTAGATTACTATACACTTAAAATAGGCATTTGATAAATACTCCGTTAATCATATGGCTTTCTTTTTTCATTGATGAGTTTAATAGTTTAATCATAGCTCATTTAGATTCCACATTTCATTAAGAGCTTTTTATGTCCAGTTTGGTGCTGGATAAAGGTATCAAGTGACAATAGACACTGGTATAGTGTAATGAAGCTCAGAAATCAGACTCTTATTTGGCATTTGAAGCTAGATATCATAATTTCAAGATCTTTCATTATGTTACTATAATTCATCTGGAGGATTGCGATTTTCAGCCAGTCCAGGCAGGAAAGCCTTTTTTCCAATTAATTACCAAAAAACCCCCCAAAAAACAAACCAGAAGTAAAACTCAAATGTCGTAAGTGGTAGAGCATTAGCTTTGAACAAAAAAGCTCAGGGATAATGCCCAGGCCCTGAGTTCAAGCCCAAGGACCAGCACATATACACACACATGCACATACACACACACATACCAAGTATAAAAATACAAATGCCAGGGCTGGGAAGGTGGCTCAGTGGTAGAGTGTTTGCCTTGCATGCATGAGGCCCTGGGTTCGATTCCTCATCCTCAGCACTACATAAGCAAAAAGAAAAAAGCCAGAAGTGGCGCTGTGGTTCAAGTGGTAGAGCCCTAGCCTTGAGCTAAAGAGCTAAGGGACAGCGCCCAGGCCCAGAGTTCAGGCCCCACAATGGGACAAAAAAAAAATACAAATGCCCAAGTCATGTTATTATTATTATTGGGTTATTATTGGTGGCTGGGAGAACACTCAAAGTAATTAGGTTGTCTAAGGTATTTAAAGTAAAACATTTAGAAATTTTCTTCATTGCAAAGTATCCTGTACTTAATTAATCTAATAATAATGGGTGTTTAAAATAGAAGCAAGGTGAACAGACAAGTTGCATACTTTTATAAAATATCTGAGGATATACTTAAAGTGAGTTATCAAAGGAATTTCTTACTTAAAAAAATGAATCAGTCATTGCTAACTAGGATTCTTTATAATACCATGTAGTGAAAATGTAGCCATTTCCATGCTTATTTAAGAAAATCAGTAGTCAGCTAAAAAATTTAAAAGGTGACTTTTCATGGACAAGTAACCCTGTAACTCCAAGACAGTCTATCATATTAAACTTAGCTGCATTCCAGTAATTCAGTGGTATCTTTGAAAATCAATTAAATTTAAAATAGCTGGCATAGTAATGAAAGAAACTAGTCTTTCTTCATTTATTTATTAACTTCCTTTCCTAAAGATTCTTGCTTCTTAATAGATTAGGCATATGTAGTTTCAACAATGTAACTTGATATATGATAGTATAAATTATATAAAATACAATCAATACAGAAGGAAGGAATTTGGCTCCATCCCTCAAGTTAGTCTCAGGAAGAGAATCTCATGTATGTTTTTCTGAGGTCTACTTCTATTTCGCTACTAACATTAACAGAGTTCTTTCATTTACAACCTGTATTGTTGAACTTTTGCTGTGACCAAATGAAAGATTTGTGAGGTTTAAAGGGCAATTTCTTGGACACTAACAGAGTCTGCACACCAAGTCAGCTGCAACAAACTGCATCAAATGCTGTCTTTCTGGGTGAGGATAAGGCTACTGGACAGGAGCATGTGGTTGAGTGTGTATGGCTTACAGTCTTGTCAAAAGTCCTTTCCAGGGACTTCCGGGAGGCTCATTGCCTTTCCTCCGGTCTCTTCCTCTGTCTGCTTTCTGCCCATCTCAGTGTCTGTCAAGTCCTCCAGAAGACCCAAGGGGAAGAAATGAAATTATTCACAATGAGTCAGTCAATCACTTGGACTGCTTTTCTGGATCATTTTCGTTGTTACAACTCATTTATCACCAGAACATACGGTTTAAAACATGACTTGAGTCTGACAGTGCCGATGGCTCATGCCTATAATCCCAGCTACTCAGAAGGTTTGAAGCCAGCCTGGGCAGGACAGCTTGTGACACTCTTATCTCCAAAGGAGCTGGAAGTAGAGCTTTGGCTTAAGTGGTAAAGCATTAGCCTTGAGCAAAAGAAGCTCATGGACAATGTCCAGGCTCTGAGTTTAAGCCCAGGACTGAGACAAAAAAACAAAACAAAAAAACCAAAAAACAACAAAAAATACTAAAAAACCCAAAACAAAAAACTTGAAGAGTTAACTTATTCATTTCAATATATAAACTAAATATATCAAATGCAAAAATATTCCTTATTATAAATCTCTAACTGAGGGGCTCACTTTAGTTTATTAGCTCGTTTGGTAATAATTCACATCAAATGTCCTCACTATTCCTAGGAACAACGGAAAACTAGGAGTATAAAGCTTTCTCTGCCTCAATGAAAATTTGGTACCCATTTAGGTCAGTGAAAAGTATTAAAAGTTATTCTCGGGCTGGGAAGGTGGCTCAGTGGTAGAGCGCTTGCCTTGCATGCCTGAGGCCCTGGGTTCTATTTCTCAGCACCACATAAGCAAAAAGAAAAAAGCCAGAAGTGGAGCTGTGGCTCAAGTGGTAGAGCGCTGGCCTTGAGCTGAAGAGCTGAGGGACAGCGCCCAGGCCCAGAGTTCAGGCCCCACGACTGGACCCCCCCCCCAAAAAAAAAGTTATTCTCAACAATCACTGTGGGCCAGGCGCTGGTGGCTCACACCTGTCATCCTAGCTACTCAGGAGGCTGAGGTCTGAGGATAACAGTTCAAAGCCAGTCCTGTCAGGAAAGGGCGTGAGACACTTATCTCCAATTAACTTGAGCTGTGGCTCAAGTGGTAGAGCGCTAGCCTTGAGTTGAAGAGCTGAGGGACAGCGCCCAGGCCCAGAGTTTAAGCTCCATGATTGACAAAAAAACCCCAAATAATAACAATAACAACAACAAAACAAAACAATCACTGTGGACAAAAATGTCAACAGGATAATATAATTTTTTGAAAATACTTTAATATTTGCCATTTTGTTGCCTGTGTTATTAATATACACATTTAGTAATAAATATACTACCATTACATAGAATGCAACATGTTTTTAGCATTTATAACTGATTAAAATTAATGCTGCTATTACGTCAAGAAAGGTACAAATAAATATCATGTCCAAATTCCAAACTAAAGCTTAATAGGTTACCATTACCCAAAACTACAAAATAAACATATAGGGCATTATCTTTTGAAGCATAATTCCTGTAAACATAGCAAAGATCACTTTTCTCAGTCCTGACATTCATTCGTGTGATGGCTTTAAAAGAAAAAAATAACATACAATCCTATCACTTCATTTTTTTGCATAGGGAATTCATTAATTGTATTTTAAAATGCAGCAGTCTTTCCATGAAATGTATTCATCGCATAGCACTTGTTTTTTTTTAAATATGAATTCAGAATTTCTGAGCAATAAAATAGTGCTCTGCATTAGTTTATAAAATATGCTTTCTGGATTTAAAATTTAACTGAAAAATTTCAAAAACAAGTCATAGGTGTGATTCTAAAATATTATGTACATAATATACGACCACAGGAGGAAGTACCCGCTGTAGTACAACACAGTGTACAGATATGAAGCACAGTGTTGAGCAGATTTCCCTTTAGATTTTCTTCATATTGGTGCATAAGTGACTAATGACTCATTTACACAACGCACACACCCATTCTACTTGTGCACAAAGCAGAGGAGGGATGTGAGGACAAATTTAAAGTACTTTATAGAAAAATGGCAAACATACAGTACATATACTTAAAACAGTGCACTTTATAAAATGGATTGCTTTAGCCACACTTGTATAAAGTGCCATATTATTTTAAAACAGAGAGACATGTACCTTAATATTCTGCAAAAACCGTGAAAACAAACTGCCAGGAAAGAGCAGTGCAAAATGAAAACCATAAAGCTGGGCATGCATCTCAGACCCAAATGCACAGCATGACACTTGAAGTTCATATGTCCTTTTAACATTTTACAAACAAAAAAAGATTAACAATAGCAGGTTATCATCATATATAGCCATAAAATAAAACAATAAGTTAAAATTCTCTCTCAAGAAATAAGTATAAGCCACAAATAACATTCATTACACTCTTTTGAAAACAGACTATTTTTTTCTGATAAATATCACCATCCAAAGGGTGAAAAGCGCATAAAAATCCAGCTAATCTACCAGGCACAGAAAAAGGCATCATTGAGTCTTATTGGTGGACATTTGAAAGCTCCAACCTCACCAGTGCCTACCTAACTTCATAGAGCCCTTAGCTGTTTAAGGAACAGTTCTATGGGCACCGGGCTGGGTGGCTAAAAGCCTCATGTGTGCTCTATTCACAGTAACGCTCTCTGTCCCGTGCTTTTGGACAACCAAATGGGGTTTTCCTGAAAGAGTTCACTATGAGTCAGATTCCAGTGAGACCACCAGGACACATCATTTAAAGCACAGAACAGCACCTCAGGCACCTGCTGAGGGGCAGCCACGCCATTTCTACCACTCCTAGGCTGCTCAGTCGGAGAACTGGAAGAGCGTCTCTGGGTTCCCGCTGTCGGCAGGGTTGCTGGGCTGCGTCTTGGTGGGCGTCGTTTTGCCATGAGAGTGGGAGGAAGAGGAGTGGGAGCTCTCACTGGAGCTGCTGCGCGTCTCGGTACTGGTGCTCGTCTTCTTCATTTTCCTTCTCTTAGCCAAAGGGGCCTTATCAACATTCTGAAGGCAAAACCCTTCTCGCTTGTATTTGTTAAAGGCCTATGGGAGAGAACACAGGGAACTCCAGTAAAGATCAAAAAGTATTGACGCTCTTTCCCCCTCTTATATTGAAGCTTTTTGTAGAAGCTTACAGCAGAAGATAACTTTCTTTTGGCAGAAGCAGCTCAAGTTGTTTTGGGAAAAAAAGCTCTGAAAACTTTTCTATCCAAACAGCCACACAGAGGAGAGAGGTGCTCAGGCAAGATTGCTATCCTGGGAAATAGAACCCAGGCCCCCACAGCATTCAGCCACACCCTGACCCAAGTAAAATTGTTGATTGCCCTGAATCAAACCAGATGGGTTTTCCAGGCACCAGAATTCTAATACTGAGTTTTCCTTGTTGCTGGGGATGGAACTCAGGGCCTTAAGCTTGGATGGCAAGGGCCCTACTCCTAAGCCTTACAGCTCCTAGTTTATCTTTTGATGAAGTTAGCATTACATCTCAGTAGAAGCCACCACCTACTGGGAACTTCTGAATATCAATTCTTTAAACCAATACCATTTCTACCACTTTTACCAACATCTATCTTCTCTGACGGTCCTGCGGCTTGAACTCAAGGCCTGGACACTGTCCCTGAGCTTCTCTGTGCTCAAAGCTAGTGCTCTACCCCTTGAGCCACAGCTCCACTTCCAGCTTTTTCTGAGTAACTTTTACTGGAGATAAGCATCTCACAGACTTTCCTATCTGGACTGGCTTTGAACTGTGATCCTCAGATCTCAGCTTCCTGAGTAGCTAGGATTACAGGTGTGAGCCACTGCCACTTGGGTTAGTTACTCTGCTACTTTTTACTGAATCTGTTTCAGATTTAAAGTTGTGACCCCGAATTTTCAAGGAAGACCAGACAGATCCCTGTGGAGCCTTGCTCTGCCTTTCCAATACAATGTCTGGTGTATCTCGACACTTCACCCCAGAGCAGCTTAGTTCCACGCACCTCACCCAGATTTGTCTTGATTTTCTTAGCACCAGATATGGGTAGTACTACAGTGAGCCATCATCGTTGTCAGTGAGAAAACCTGAACCACTAGCTATGGTGCCTGTAGCTTTTTCTCCATTTCTCAATGTCTCCTAGTCTATCACTTTTCCAAGTCTCCTGGTGCTATTCCATCTCACTTCTCAAGATAATCTCTTTGGAGATAATTTTGTGTCTCTGATGTCATCTAATTCTAGTTATCTCAATGCACTGCATATGACTGACACAAAGCTGCACAAGGTAGTTATTACCAGGCAGTTCCAGCCTGTCAAGAATCCAATTTGGATCTGACACAACTAACTTTCTTCATGACCTTCACAGTCTTTAGATCATGCTATACATTTGATAGTTGTTGAATGAACAGATTTTCACCCATTCTTCTTTTTTTTTCTTCTTCTCTTGGTTGTGGGGCTTGAACTCTGGGGCTGGGTGCTGTCCTTGAGCTCTTCAGCACTGTACCACTTGAGCAACAGTGCCACTTCTGGTTTTCTGGTTTTTCAGTCTCACAGACTTTGCGGCCTGGGCTGGCTTTGAACCGTGATCCTCAGATCTCAGCCTCCTGAGTAGCTAGGATGACAGGCATGAGCCAGCAGAGGAAATGGTTTCTTATATATCTTATTTTCTTCTCCTACCCCAAATTAACTGTTCAAGTATCAGGTTACTACTGTCTTTTCTCACAAAGTCATCCTAAATGTGAAGTTGAAGTGTTTGGAAGGTTAGAAGTGACTCTGACCACCCACATGATCTCTGTTTACAGTGTGTTTATTCCATGACACAGTCAGTAAAAGCATGCCTAAAATGAAAAAGACACATGCTCAGTGTCTTAAGGAGCCTATGTCTCTGCGGCTACCAAGAAGAACACAGGATAGGATCCCTTTCCACACTGCCCTCCATGTGCACCGCACCGGGCCTTACATGGAAGGTTGCTTTCACACAAGTGTGTACCGCAGCTCCTGAAGATCCCAGAATGTCTGGGGTCATCAGAGGATTGGAGGACAGCTGACTGCCATCCTGAAGCCACTCATTATATCTCAAGCCAGACATCTTAAGCCTTTTATTTGGATCAACTGTGAGAAGTCCTGTGGAAATGAATGGAAGAGATTTTAATCTTATATGCCATTTTAAACATGGTTTGATTTATACTTCAGGTATAAATTTCAATTATGTTCACATGACATGATTGCGTTGATGAGGCTTCAACCTCCCAAAAGATAATTACTGTTACATAGACATTTGTATCTCCCAGTGGACAGGATGCTAAGATAAGGTCACAGTAGCCTATTTCTAGGAGGCTGTGGGCGAACCGGCTTTCCAATCAGGAGAAAATATCACCCAAAACAAGGACTCCCACTGGTGACTGGGTAAACGTCAACTGCAGAGTCATCAACGAGGTCTACTTCAGAGAGAGCAGAAGCCTTTGCCAGCCATCTTCTTCACCAGGGAGTATGGCAGAGGAGCAGTCAGGAGATAAGGGAGACTCTACCATGACAAGATAGGTGCAGTAGTAACACGGGCAGACAGTGAGGTCCAGGAGAGGGGTCTGCATAGAGAAGGCGTATCCTGGGTTCCAAGGATTAGCTGAGTGCTGGTGGCTTGTGCTTGTAATCCTAGCTACTCAAGAGGCTGAGATCTGAGGATCATGGTTCAAAGCCAGTCTATAAGACTCATCTTCAATGAACCATTAAAAAGCTGGGAGTAGAGCTATGGATCAAATTGTACAGTGCTAGCCTTGAGCAAAAAAAGTTCAAGGACAATGCCCAGGTCCTAAGTCAAGTCCAGGCAGGACTGCAAAACAAGGAAAGAAAGGAAAGAATGAAAGAAAGAACGAAGGAAGGAAGGAAGGCAGGAAGGAAGGAAGGAGGGAGGGAAGGAAGCAAGGAAGGAGGGAAGGAGGGAAGGAAGGAGGGAAGGGAGAAAGGAGGGAAGGGTGAAAGGAGGGAAGGAGGGAGAGAGGGAGGGAGGGAAGGAAGGAAGGAGGGAGGGAGGGAGGGATGGAAGGAGAGAAGGGAAGGAAGGAAGAAAGGAAGGAATAAGAGGTGCTGCCAGGATTACCAAGCGTATGCATCAAGAAGTCATCTGAAATGGAGGTGTCTGAAAACCTGAAAACGTGAAGAACTCAGTTGTTCGATAATGGGCAGAGCTGGGGTGATGGTAAGCACTGGCAGGGGAGCCCAAGCCCTGAATGCCAGGCTAAGGAGTTTGACCTGCAGCTAATGGAGATTCTCCATTTTTATCTAAAAAGGTATGATCATCTTTGTCACTCTGTCGATGCATGATGGGCAAGAGAATCAAAGGGGGTGAAACAAGTTGAAAGGACGTGAGAAGACCAGGGCAGGTCAACGGTGGCAGGATCTAGGTGGGGGAAGGCAGCCTAGCTGTGCAGAGCAAGGAGAGAGCAGGTGGCCACAGCAGCACCAAAGTATTTGCTTTGGTGGTCTGGCTCTTGGGAAGAGCCACACCCAAAAGAAGAGAGATGGGGAGAGAAATGTGTTTGGGGGAAAAGGATAGCAGGGAAATATAGGTTCATTTCTAATGTATTAGATGGAGAAGGCAGTAAGAGCCAAGTGTGAGCTCCTGCTGAGAATAGGAATAAGACTGCTGAGAGAGCTTTCCACTAAGAAGAAGGAGAAGAGTCACCGGTCAGCCTTTGAGAACGCATGTAGGATCCCTGAGTAATGAACACACATACACACATGTAATGGGTGTGATTCTATCTCAGTCAATACATGTCACACACTACATGACATATCCTTGAGTCTTACCTTGGATCAGATCTTTTGCCTCTTGGGATACATTCTTCCAGGCTTCTCCTTCAAAGGAGAAGTCTCCCTTTTTAATTTTCTTCATGATTTCCACTGCGCTAGTGCATGTCAGACTTCTGTCATGAGACTGGAATGGAACCTGCCCCGACAACATTGTATACTACAGTAGGGAAAAAGTGACAGAACAGAATAAATTAACTCCCAAATCATTCCACCCACACATCACTAACTTAATTGGCACAACTTCCAACTATTACAACTAGCTCGGGGCTTACATGATTATGTGATATCAACCACGTATTTCAATGATCTATAAAGTAGATGGCTTTTTATGCCACCAATATTTAGAACTATTTTATAATTATAGTAACCCCCCTAGTCTTATTCATGAGGGTTAATATCATAACAGTTTTAATTGATTATCCACCAATCAACTCTGGTTAAGAATAATTTTACGCCTGCAAATTGCAAATGGTATAGCAAAAACATATTTATGTACATACAGACAAGGACAGATATTTATATACATATGGACATAGGTCCATATGCAACTGTCAGTCTGTAGCATATACATCCACATGCACACACACACATACACATATATATGGAAAGAGAATGTACACAAGAATTATACTGAAAGAAAAAGTGTAGCAAAATTTTAGATGTGAATTATATTTTTCCCTTCTAGTCTCTAGTTTTGAAACTTTCAAAATAGAAATTCAGAAACAGTGAAAAAATTAAAAGTCTCCCGAGTAAAAACTTGGAGAAAGTACACTTTAAATGCAATTAGGTGCTACTTTAAAGGTCAGATATTTAGTATATATTCTACAGGCCATATGTTTGTGCTTCCCCTGAATTCCTATGTTGAATCCTCAAACCAATGTCACTGTATTTCTAGAGGCAATTGGTGTTAAAGAAAGTTATACAGGCAAGGGCTGATATACCATGGTTTTTGCCCTTAAGATGATGGACAAGAGAGAACTCTCTCTGGGTGAATGTGCCGAGGAAAGGTTGGACAAGCACAAAGAGCAGGTGGCTGGGTGTGACCCCAAGGGAGAGGCCTACTACACATCCTCTGTGTTGCACCTTGATCTACCCCACCTCCAGAACTATGGGAAAATAGCTTTGTGGCATATTGTGTTAGTGGCACAAGAAGATTAATATATTCTAGTTAAATGACTACATTTTCAGTCAGGAAATGTATATTTCTGGTATATACTGGGTTAAAGTCAAAGCCACATAAAATTATGTGACACATTTTCCTGAAGTACTTACTGTACTCAATGAAGGTAATATAATTTTATTTTCATATTGAAGTATCTACATTATGTTTATTAGGTGTAAATGCAAAAGGGTCATCTCTTTCTTTCTTTTTTTTTTTTTTGTTGGTCGTGGGGCTTGAACTCTGGGCCTGGGTGCTGTCCCTCAGCTCTTCAGCTCAAGGCGAGCGCTCTACCGCTTGAGCTACAGCGCCACTTCCGGTTTTCTGGTGGTTTATTGGAGATAGGAGTCTCATGGTCTCTCCTGCCCGGGCTGGCTTTGAACCTCGATCCTCAGATCTCAGCCTCCTGAGTAGCTAGGATTACAGGCGTGAGCCACCAGCGCCCGGCTTAGGGCCATCTCTTTCTAAGACAAGAGACTTCTATATATTTTGTGCTTGCTAAGGGGGTGAGTATGTAGCTATCAGGAGATATGAAAAAGTTTGCAAACCGTACTTATTTTTTGGCAGTTTAACATTTAGATAAAAAAGGCAAGAGTTTTACAACACCATCATCACATCCAGAGTTCATAGTTATTCTTTTGAAGCACTAAATATGTAATCAAATTTCAAACTTCCCCCACTATGTTACATAGGTGGTATGTGGTGTATGCACATATATCTATAGGAAACACATTTAGAATTTCAATTTAATAAACAGAATTTAAATTAGAAATTTCTTAAATAAAGATTCAAATAAGACAATATAGACCCTATTTTTTTTTTTTTGGTCAGTTGCAGGGCTTGAATTCAGGGCTTAGACACTGTCCTGAGCGTTTTTGCTCAAGGATAGTGCTCTATCACTTTGAGCCACAGCTCCACTTCTGGTTTTTTTTGGCAGTTAACTGGAAATAAGAGTCTCACACTTCCCTGCCCAGGCTGGCTTTGAACTTCAATCCTCAAGCGTCAGCCTCCTGAGCAGTTACATTTCCTTTTTTTTTTTTTTTTGGTCCAGTCGTGTCCCTCAGCTCTTCAGCTCAAGTCCAGTGCTCTACCACTTGAGCCACAGCACCACTTCCGGCTTTTTTCTTTTTGCTTATGTGGTGCTGAGGAAATGAACCCAGGGCCTCATGCATGCAAGGCAAGCGCTCTACCACTGAGCCACCTTCCCAGCCCTACATTTCCTTTCTTCCCTTCTTTTTTTTTTTTTTTTGACAGGGCCTTGTGCTTGCTGGCAGGCACCTGAGCCACATGCCCAGAACTTTTATTCTTCAGTTATTTTTCAAAAGGGTCTTGAGTTTTTTTGCCCAGATGGGCCTCCAATAATATCTTACCTATACATCCCTCAGAAGTAGGATACAGATGTTTACCACCACGCCCAGATGATTGGTTATCTAGCTTATTATGGTGTCTCCCTAACTTTTTGCTGGAGCTGATCTCCAACCATGATTCTACTAATCTCCAAGTAGCTGGGATTACAGACAGATGCCTACTGCTCATGTTGTTTTAATCTATAGGTTCCCATGCTATTTTTTCTTCCTATTTGTTGATGAAACTGATGGTGTGCCTTCCCAGTGTGGACTTTGAGACTGTACTCTGTGGCACAATTAACTTGCTTCTTACCCCCTACTTTTCTTAAAAAAAATTGACAATCAGATCTAGAGGGCTATGTGGCTCCCTCTTTGTTTAATATACATCCACGTGCTCTGAAATACCGCTCTGCATGTCTGAGGTGCCTTTAAAACTCTAAAGACTGGGACAGTCATAATTGGTCTAGATAAAGTCAAGTCTTTTACAATAGAAAAGTAAGTTAATACTACAATTAAAGGTTTTTTTAGGACATTGCTAACTAATGAAAATGTCATCAGTATGAAACTTTAAAATCTTCAGATATAGAGAAGTTAGGAGCTTATTTTTACTAAAGTATCTTATTCATAAATATGTAAGTTTAGTTTGAAAGTGATAAATGATTATTTAAAACTGCTCAGATGAAAACCATATAAAGCTTAAAAATAAAGAACCATCTTGCAGGGACAAGTGGCTAGCCACTGGGAGAAAACATATCGACACCAAAATAAATCCCAGATGGAGTACAGATTGAAGTATAAAAATATGCCAGAGTAACTGGAAAGGAAAACTTAGGAGAATATTTTTACAGTCTTGGGTTGAGGGTAGGGGTGTAGTGACAGTCTGACATCAAAGCCACATACCCTAAAGGGAAAGACAGACATACCTTACTACATGGCAGTAATATACTAGACTCTACATAAACTCTTCTACAAACAAAATCAAAATCCCATATTACTAAAAATGAAGTTTTCAAACAAAGGATAAGTCAGAAGAATATTTCTAATTGTCGAAGGCAAAGAATTAAAACAGAGCTTAAGCTTTAAATATAATAGAGCTTTAAAGTTCAGTAAGAGAAACCTCATCATAGAAAAATGGTTAGAGCTCATAAAGAGCAATTCATAAAAGAGAAAATACAGGGGCTGGGAAGATGGCTCAGTGGTAGAGTGCTTGCCTCGCATGCATGAGGCCCTGGGTTCGATTCCTTAGCACCACATAAACAGAAAAAGCTAGAAATGGTGCTGTGGCTCAAGTAGTAGAGCGCTAGCCTTGAGCTGAAGAGCTGAGGGACAGCACCCAGGCCCAGAGTTCAAGCCCTACAACAAAAGAGAGAGAGAGAGAGCGAGTGAGAGTAAGAGAGAGCAAGAGAGAGCGAGAGAGAGCGAGCAAGCGAGAGAAAACACAAATGCCCAATTGCATGAAAAGATGCTCACACTAGCTGTTCATCAGAGAAATGCATGTAAATAATACAGACAGTGGGATATAATTTAAGATTAAGTTGAAAGCCTCAAATGAACTGTCATATAGCTAATAAGAACTTGACTTTTGTTCTCCATTTCTAGCCAAGCACAGCGACTCATACTTGTAATCCCAGCTACTTGTGAGGCAGAGAATGGAAAGATGGTGGTTGAGGCTAGCCTGGGTGGGCATAAAAGTTAGTGACATGACCTCTCAAAGAACAGGCCTGGCACAGTGATGGACAGCTGTAATTCCAGCTACAGGGTGTGTGACAGAATGAGACCTTACCTGAGAAACCATTAAAGCAAAATGGGCTAGGTGCTTGAGCTGTGGCTCAAGTGGTAGAGCCCTTGCCTAGCAAATGTGGGGCCCTGAGTTCCCTTCAAAACCCTATAGACCAATTAGCCAATCAACAAACAAACAGGAAGAGACAAAGAAGGAAATTTAAGTGTCTATGCTAAAATAAAGATGTGTAGACCCTTTCACTAGAATTTTATCCTAACTGAAGAAAATGAGCCAAATGCAAAGAAATACAGACACATTTCCTTTAAGTTTACGATTAGGGGAAAAAAGTACAAAATGCGAATTGTTCCCTAGTAAAGCAATGGCCAGCCAAGCACTGGTGGCAGGCTCATGCTGGCAGGTCTGTGGTTCAGGGCCAGTCCAGGCCTACCCGTAAGACCTCTTCTCAACCAACAGCGGGGCAAGGGGGCATGGGCCTAACATTCTAGCTACAGAGGATACTATGATTTGGAAACTGTATTTCCAGGCCAGTCTGGGAAGAGTCTATGAGACTCCAGCTCAATAAAAGAGGCTTGGTATGCAAGCATGTGCCTGCTCTTTCTAGTAACAGGAAGTACAAAATAGGCCAATGATAGTTGAGGTAGGAACCCAAATAAAAAGCAAGATCCTACTTAAAAAATAACCAGTGCAAAAAAGGGGTGTAGCAGTGTAGCTTAGCACTGGAGTGCCTGCCTAGCAAGTGTGAGAACCTGAGTTCAAAACTCTAGTACCACAACAAAGTTAACTGTATTTTTGAGACCCAGTCTACGTGCATAATAATATAATCCTGTATGCTAAAGATCTAACATATACACACACAGAGCAAAAAAGATGCTGAAAGGTATGAGGCACAGGCACCCACCCTGGGGGGCTGGCAGCCACCTCTTTGCATGAGTGATGGCCACTTCACTCCCTTTATCCTCAGCTCAATATTACAGATTATGTTCAAGACAAGTTAAGCTATTTTGGGGTAAAAACTCGGAGGTTTTTCTAGCTTAGTATTCAATAGCCAGGGATGTGTGTGTGTGTGTGTGTGTAAAGTATACTATGTATGTGTGTGTGTGTGTAAAGTATACTATGATTACCATAAATTAACATACATAGTTCTATAGTTTTATCTATTAATTTGTTAATTTTTCCTACATGACTCTTTAGTTACATGTTTAAACTAGAGTTCCACATAACTACTTTTAAGATTCTGTATTCACAAGTCACTGCTATTTTCACATTCTAGCTAAGAGAATTTTATATATATTTTTTTACAAAACCAATGTATAACTTACATGAATGATAACTTATCAGAAACATAACAAAATCCTATGTTTTCTCTAATGTAGCTTTTAAGATGTGAATATGTTCTTCTGTAAAGCCTCTAGTTGGTTTCAGAGAAAAGAACTGATTTGCTAATTTTCATGAATGTGAGCACAAGAACAAAGAGAGGGTTAAGAAGAAAGAACACGAGAGAAGTGGCCAGGCATTTTTGTGGCTCTGCCAAGATGAACTCACCAAAATGACACCCAAGCTCCACAGGTCACAGGACTCATCATAGCCGTTATGATTCAGGAGCTCTGGGGCCGCGTAATGAAGGGTGAAGCACGGAGTCTTAAGGGGTTGATTGTCAGGTGGCTTGAGACGTGCAAACCCGAAATCAATTACTTTAATTTCCAAATTATCATTTTCATCTGTGAACAGTAAATTCTGCAAGATGCCAATACTTGGGTTAGTTTGTCATTAAAATGTCAGGGGATCTGCTGATCCAGCTTATAGAAAATTGTTTTTGTATATATTGACATATGATTCACAGTCTCATGTAGACAGTCTAGGGCTGGATGTCTATGCACCGTTGGTCTCTTCTTTGTATTTTTTAAAGTATTATTTCTCCTTCAATCTTTTTTGACTGTATCATGCTTTTTTTTTTTTTTTTGGTCAGTTGAGGGGCTTGAACTAAGGACCTGGACGCTGTTCCTAAGCCTCTTTGTGCTGAAGGCTAGCGTTTTGTGCTACCACTTGAGCCACAGCACCACTTCCATTTGTTGCTGGTTTTGAGTGGTTAATTGGAGATAAGAGTCTCACAGCGACTTTTCTGTCTGGGCTGACTCTGAACCATGATCCTCAGATCTCAGCCTCCTGAGTAGCTAGGCTTACAGGTGTGAGCCACTGGCACCCGGCTCATTCCTCTTCTGATGTCAGACTTTGTCTCAACTTTCCCCTCTGCATGAGTCTGTCTTCCACTCCTCTATCAAGCTATCTTTCAGCCTGGCCCCTATATACTCAGTCTTCATTTAGAGATGCCGCCACCCCTAACCATCCCACCAAACACAAGTGAGAACTCCCAGGACTTTCTCCGAGGACAGGTTCCTTTCTGGCTCCATTCTGGCACTAAGTCACCTCTGTAGTTTTTAGTGGACTGTTCTGGTCACCATTAGACCACAACTCTGTAAGAAAAGGACTGTGCATCCTCCTCATTTCTGATGCTATCTGCAGGACCTGTCATGGGTGTGCAGATACAGATTGTTTTATTGTGCTTCATTTTATCACAGCTTGTGGATCATTGTTTGCTTAGTGAAGGTTTGTGGCAACCCTGTGAAATCTATCCACACCATTCTTCCAATAGCATGTGCTCCCTATTACATTTTTATGTAATTTTCGCAATATTTCAAGGGTTTTTTTTTTATCATTACTGTATCTGCTAGAGTGATCCATGGTCTTTGATGTTATTGTTTGGGGTTTCATGAATCCCATTCAGTGAGATGGTGAATTTCATGAGTAAAACATGTGTTCAGACGGCATGAATGAACAGATGCCCCCAGCTCGCTCCTTCCTCTTCTCAGGACAACTTAATCCCTCAGACACAACACTGAAATTGGACCAATTACTAACCCTAGAGCGTCCTCTAGGTATTTAATACATGGAAGAAACACAGGACTTCCACTTTAAGTAAAAGACTAAAAATGATTAAGTTTAGCAAAGCAGGTAGTTCAAAAGCTGAGGTAAGCTCCAAGCTAGATCTCTTGCATCAGTTAGTTAAGTAGTGAATGCAAAGGAAGAGTTCTTCAAGGAAATGAGAAATACTATGGTAGTAGACACACAGATGACTAGAAAACAAAACGCCCTTCCTGTGGGTACAGAGAAAGTTAGTGGTCTTGAGAGAAGATGAAATCAGCCACAACTCCCTTATCCCAATGTAACCAAGGGCAAGGCCCTAGCTTGCTTTATTTCTCTGAAGGCTGGGACAGGAAAAACAGCCACAGAAGGTAAGTGTGAAGCCAGCAGAGGTTGGCTCATGAAGTTTAAGAAGCTAATGCTGTAGCATGAAGCTGGAGGTGGAATTGCAGGTCTCGATGGAGCTGCTGTAGCAAGCTACCTAGAACTAGCACAGATCACCGCGAGGAACGCATCTCTGGTGAGGAGACAGCTGTCTGTGGGAAGCACGTTGCCTCTTGATATGGGCGATATAGCTGGTGACTTTAAGGGGAGCCAAGGTTCATTTAATACTTGAAAGTCCTGGGATCTTTAAGAATTACACAAATACTACTCTGCTGGAGTTCTACAAATGGGGAAACAAAGCCTAGAAGAAAACACATTTGTTTGCAACATGGTTTGCTGAATCTTCTTCTTTCTTCTTCTTCTTCATGGTTTGCTGAATCTTCTTCTTCCTTCTTTCCTCCTCGTCCTCCTCCTCCTCCTCCTTGTCCTCCTCCTCTTTTTGCCAGTTCAGGGCCTGGGCACTGTCCCTGAGTGTCTTTTGCTCAGGGCTAGCACTCTACCACTTGAGCCACAGCACCACTTCTGGCTTTTTCTGTTTATGTGGTACTGAGGAATCGAACCCAGGGCTTCATGTATGCTAGGCAAGCACTCTACCACTAAGCCACATTCCCAGCCCCTGCTGAACATTTTAAGTTAATTGTTGAGACCACCTGCTCAGGAAAAAAGATTCCTTCTAAAACATTGCTACTCATAAAAACTGGACCTGGTGATGTTTAATGACAAGGATGTGCAATGAATGGAGGTGTCCTATGAGATGAACCTTATTCCCAAGCCTGTGTATACAACCTCCATCGTGCAGCCCAAGGGGCAATAAAGGACTCTGATTTCCCAGTCTTATTATATAAGATATATCGCTCATTAGGCCTATCAGAAATTGTGATTCCTTTGATGGATCTGGGGAACCACAGACTTTCAAGGAAGGATTTACTATTTAGAATAGTAAATGGCTTCTAGGAAGCCATGGAGATTTCATAAAGATGACACCATGATTCCTTAATGATGATGCCGAATGATTAAAATTTTCAGGGTAGGAAGTAACAGAGATAAGGTAAAAACAACAGAACTAGAAGTGGAAGTAGAATCTGAAGATATGACTGAATTGCTACATGGTAAAACTTTAAATGCATGTGGAGTTACCTCTAATGGATGACCAAGAGTGTGTTTCTTTTTTCTTTTTGCCAGTTCTGGGGTTTGAACTTATTATCTTGAGCTTGCTCAGCTGG